AATTCTTCAACCCGTAGACTAACCCGCCCGCTCAAAAAAAAATCGTTTAACCCGTCAAGCGGGTCGGGTTCGACCCTCAACGGGTCGGGTTTGCGGGTTGGGTCAAAAAAAAGGCAGTCACCAACATCTCTGCTCACCACACCCACATCCACACCCAAGAAAATGAAGATTCGGCTGCATCTTTTGATATAGGACAGTTATAGATCAAATAGGAATCGAAAGGAGAAAAATGCATCAAGAAAAAACGGCACTTTTTTCCACTACATTTGCTATTGCATATGAATTATATTAAAAAATGAAACACATTCACATCAAAATGGTCTTCTTGTCACGGTACGCAATCGACCACTTCTTGATTTTGGTTACAAGGATTCAATTGTACCGTTCCATCGGGCATACCAACTCATAATTAATTTATGACCACCTTTGACTTTATAGAACATTTTGCTAATGATTCGAACTCACATCCGTAAATTCCATGACGATATTCTTACAAGACGTTGCTTTTGAAATAACTGGTGTATTTATTGTTATTTTTTGTCATCATGAAAACAGTGCATAGAAACAGTATGAAATCATTCGATAGATAGATAGCATGCATATTAGTGTTCAAGAATGAATTGTTCAACGTGGAAATAGGCAACGAAACTGGCGAGAGTAAAAGAACAGATAACTACCAGTTCCAGAACAAATCCAATGTGTTTTTGAATTTTAATCCTTGGCTTGACAAGTTATGACTAAATTTCATATTAATATTTCTATGCCAATTTCGAATACGAATTCAAAATTATAGCGTTTCATGGAGCGGATAGAAATATCTGGCAAGGAGCTATTAAATGTTCTTGTTTTAGAAAAGAGAGAATATGGGCGTGCGAGATATTTAAATTACTTTTTTCCAACATTCAAAATGGATTACAATCGGTATTATGTTACCTATGTACGATGATACTCAGAAAGAAAATCGAATATACTTAATAGTGTGTCTCATTGAGTTCAAACAAAGTGTCAAATAATTCAATGATATAAAATGAGAATTTTGATAGTGAATCAAGTCTAGCTACCAATGATCATGATTTCATCTACACTAGAAAAATTCTCAGACGCGAAAATGTGTTTGAAGCTGAGTGAGTTTTAAATATGGTATTCGCGCATCGTCATCCTCAAATTTCTATCGGTTTCAGTTCGATTTAAATTTTGAAAAACCCGAATCGTGCTCACCTCGGATAGATACACTTTTTGAGAAACGAATAAAAAAGAAATGAAACGAAACCAGAAGACGTGGATGGATGGATATAGGTATTCAATGGCACTCATGCTCCTATTCGACAAATCAGAATGAAGACAAGATGCAAAAAGTTAATTTGAGTCGCTAAAACTCACATAAAAGACTTATCCTTAAATCTTAATTGTAAATTTACAATTTCTAGTTTATCATTTTATTAAACAACAATACATATCATCTCTATCCTTACGCATCGTTTTCATGAATAATATTTTTTGAACAGAAAAAAACGGTGCAACATAGAAGTGTTAATTGTCAAACGGTACTAGAATCGAATCATGTAGTTTCGTGCGATCGTGATTTAGATGAAGGACGAACATAATAGGAATAGTTAGCATATTCGATATTAAAATTGTATGATGTTATATATAAAAGCGAATCGCATTTGCGAAGACATCTGAATAGTTTATGCATTTGAGCAATCGATGGAAATTGGTCTACATACAAATAATAAGGATATTTTCGGCACAAATAAATAAGCATATCCAATTTCTTGAGACGAGGAAGTCGATGACGAAGACAGTCAGCCATTTTAACAAAATCAATTGTTTCAGCATGTTCACGACAATGACCAACAGCAAGATAAAAACCGATAAGATTTGGAAAGAGTGAGAGAAGAGAATCGAATTGACCATCATTAAATCGAAACTCACGAGGTCGTTCGATGACTAGACGTTTCATGAATGGATAGTGAACGGTAGAAAACATCAATGAAGGCCATTTATCACTAAGTTTGTATTGTAGGGAATTGAAATTGGGACATATAGAGAGAATCGTTTGAAACTCATTTCCATTATATTCCTTCGTAACAAATTGACGAAGAGTTTTTAATGAACTAGTCGTTGTTAATGGAAGAACTTCTTCTTCATAAGCGTTGATAGCACATACTTTTAGATGGCGAAATGCACCTGTAAAGATAAATTCAGCGAGTTTCTTGGTACAACATGATAAATGTAAAGATTTGATTAGAGGACATCGATTGGGATAAATGAATGAGTTTAGTTCATCGATTGATACAATAGTCCACCACTGATAATATCCTATTTCAATATGCAATGAACGAATATTAGATAAATTTAAGAAGTGAAATTGAGAAAGAGAAGATCCAGCTGTATAAGACGTATAAGACAATTTAATGTGCAATGAAATGAACGAGTCAAAAAAGGATGAAGCAGGTTTTAAATGACTTGTTGTTGAAATAGTTAAATTGGGTTGTTTTTTGAGAATCGAATTAATACGAGTATTTAAATGAGCCATAGATGAATAGAGTTTATCAGTTGTCAAATATTGGAATATTTCGAAGAAAATTTCCACAGATAGATCTTCCAATCGGGATACATTCAACTCATTCATCTCTTCAATTTTTGTTTTCACCAAATAAAGAAACAATGATTGCCAATATTTAAATGAAACATGTCATTATATATTTGTGTCCAATAGAATTATCAATAGAATAATAGTGTCACATTCGAACAAAAATGCATTTATCTATCATTTTAAAGAAACCAATGAACAAAAGATGTTCTCATTTCTCTAGCATGGTGAATTTGACAGAATAGATCAAAACTCAATGGATGTTTTAGCTTTGAATGGGTTTGAGTGTGGTTATACAGAGTGCTACAAAACTTTTACATCCCACTATACAACTTCAAAGCATCAATAATATCATGAATGTATTTTATACCAAATAAAAGCGTGGCAAAAACTGGATTTATTCGCATTAAATAATAAAGATTATAAGGACCTTCTAATGTCAATCTTAAGAAATTTTCAGAAATGTGATACTTTTTTTGGTGTAGAAAAGTAAGGTACCAGTAATTCAAAAATAGGGTAAAAGATTTTTCTTGGATATTTTGACATGGTTCGATAGAACTCGTCGAGCTGTACAAAATTATATATTTGAAAGATATTTTGAGTCATCTTTTTCAGATAAAAAATGCAAAAAAAAACTTGGGAAACATCAAAAAATGTCCAAAAACTTCGTTTTTTTTCGTATGGAAGAAAGACACTCGATTTTTCAATAAAATTAGCGCTTGTTCATTACTTTTGCTGTCTCAAATATTTCAACATGTACTCATTCGGTGCTGCGTGAGAAACTGCACCAAATGAGTACAACGAAATGTACTGTCATCGGTATGGGTATTTCCACCAGGTCTCTGACACACTGTACCAAAAAGTTCTCCAATTTCGATGAAACTTTCAGCGTTTGTAGAGCTTTTAATTCTAAGAATTTTGATAAAAAAATTTTTTTTAAAAAGCTTTTGTTTTCATGGAGATATACCAAAAATACTGTTATCAGTAATTATCAGAAAATTGTCAAAAACTATTGGTCAAGATTATGTAGAAAATTCATTTTTGACAATTTTCTGATAATTACTGATAACAGTATTTTTGGTATATCTTCGTGAAAACAAAAGCTTTTTAAAATTTTTTTTTATCAAAATTCTTAGAATTAAAAGCTCTACAAATGCTGAAAGTTTCATCGAAATTGGAGAACTTTTTGGTACAGTGTGTCAGAGACCTGGTGGAAATACCCTACTATTTAACAATGTTATCTCAATATTTTAACCGAATCAAAAGGGTGGAGAATTCTGAACTATCAGGATTGTAGAGCAAGTGAAGCTCTATCGAATACACTATACCACTATATCGAGCAATTCGGCTTTCTGAAATAATCAAGAGCTCTATTTTTCGTGCAGCCGGTGATCAGTCAAGGCATATGTGAGCCACAATTTTTTTCGAAACTCAAATCAACTTCAGTATGGTTCGATGCGCCTTTTCATGAGGAATCTGAATATGCTATTGGATTTCATTTTTAACTTCGTTTTAGTGGAGAAAGCTATCAAAAACTATTAGTCATGATTATGTAGAAAACCCGTTTCTTTCACATTTTACTGGTTATTCCTGATAAAAGTACTTTGGGTGTATATCTATGAAAACAAAAGCTTTTTAAAAAATTCTTTTTTTATCAAAATGCTTAGAACTAAAAGCTCTACAAATGCTGAAAATTTCATCAAAATCGGAGATCACTTTTGTAAACGTGGTTGAGATCCGGTGGAAATACTCGTATACACTTTTCATCTAACAGTCATTAGCAGAAATATCGACTACTAAGTTTTATGTAAACTAATGCTTTTATATTCTAACTCAAGGAACAGTAAGTAAGACATTTTAACGCATCTTCGAGCAAACCTTACAATATGATAGAATATGTATAGATTGATTGTTGTTTATAATATGATGAAAGTCAAGTTTGTACAGGTATCATCGCATGTTGTTGTTCTTCGTGCTGTTGCTGTTGTTTTGTATTCTTACTATTTTTTCGACAATGCTTTATCAGTATTATCAATATCGAAGGTATCATAAGTATAACAAATATTATCACTCCAAGGCGTGTAAAAATAAAAAAGTTCGACTTCGATGGTCTCTCCCATTTCCAACCCAATATACTTTTCGGTGAACCATAACATGGATATGTTTCATTTATCTAAGAATGACAAGAAAAAAATGTTATATAGAGAGATGACAGTGGTTTAAAACTAAGTCATCAAAATACAATAATTTATTCGAATTCATTCTCAATTAAAAACGAAAGAAGGGCATTTAACTATTATATAAAATCAGGATCTAGAGAGAACAGACTCGAACACTTGAAGACTTCCCAAGCACTACTCTATTACACAGAAGGTCGTGTCAACAATCCTAGCGAAAGAAAAAATAGAATATAGGTTTTAAAAGAAAATTTTTTAGATCTCCTTGCTCTTCATTACAGACTTAATCAACTACCCAGTGAAAAATGTGGAACGTTCTAACGCGTTCCAAGAAAATGAATGCCCTTTTTTTAAGAAAAAAAAAACGTTCCGACAATATTTGGAACGCTTTTTTTTCTTAAAAAAAGGGCATTCATTTTCTTGGAACGCGTTAGAACGTTCCATATTTTTCACTGGGTGGGATCAAAAGTCATTGAATGCAAATCTTCTACTAGCAACTGAATATAACAAAAGGGCCACATTCTTTTTCTATAGTTCCTAGCAATAGAAAACGACACTGAAAGGCACTAATAACAAATAATAGCAAAATTTTCTGCTCAAACTGCTAATATCAATAAGACAGATCGTCTCCCTGTACTTAATTATTTTGTAAAAGTAAGCGCCATCTGTTAGATATTGTTCACTCTATCTATTTTATGGTATGGTAATGGAACTGCTGAATACATATGCATTCCATCTTTTGGTTCCGAAAAACCTTTGCTAACAATCTATTTTATTTTTCGCACTCACGTTTTATTAAAAATGATCGTCGAGTCAAACTCAAATATTACTTTATGTTGTTGACCGATTTCCAATGGCACACTTTTGTAGAACTCAGGTATGTTTTCGAAGAAAATAGTGAGCGTAAATTTTAAGTTCGAGATTTGGCGGCTTCTCTCACCCCAATACAAACCTCGGCAAACACAAACAGAAATACTTCAGCTTTATTTAGCAATAGAAAAAAGAGTTGAACAGGATGAAGAATATGAGTTTTACTGCTATACAATGTTTCAATATTTTCGTGACTATTTGAAAAAATTAATGAATACTTAATAAAATTCTTAATAGTATATTCGTTGATCTGTCGTACCAATGATATAATCATTACAAGAAACATGATTCGATCTTTTTTTATTAGTGTTAGAAGTAAACAATATTATTATCTATGAATTAATTGAGATATATAATAATGTGGTAAGAATGGCTGATGCATATCAAGTGCATTATTGTAACATTCGTACTTATGAAATAATCGATGGTGAAAATAAAACAAATGATAAATTCTTGTTGTTGTCAGTGGTGAGTTATGAAAACGACTTTAGTCGACAGAAATTTTCTAGTTCATAGATAACATATTAGGACTGCAAAGTCTGAAGGATATACCTGAGTTCCACATTTCAGTTTCGTTGGAGCTACGCTAAGCAGTGTTTTTCATACACAATTAGACTAACGAGGGAACATTCCCAAGTGTCACATTGCTTTTGAGTCGAGCGTATGGGCATTATGTAGGTCCTAATGAGCTATGAATTCTTTGAAAAGAGTTCGTGCCGCTAGCCTCTTGCTGCTCAGATACAACATTTTTACTTTCTGTTTTGGAAAAAGCCGTGGTCCCCTTGAGGAACATCAGGAAAAGTGAGTTTTGAGTTTTCGTCTGAAACTTTACATATAGATAGACCTCAGAGAGAATAGTTTATTGTAAAGGTTTCAGGTTTTTTGGTTGCTCCTAGTCTGAAATAAGAACATCAGACCTGTCGGTGTATAGAGGCAATTTTAAGATAACTATACTTTAAGATAGAAACAGCAAAAAGAGCTGAAACTTTCGCAATAAAGTATTCTCATTGAGACCTATATCTATTCAAAGTTTGAAGTCGAAATTCGAAATTCAGTTTTCCAAGTGTTCCTGAGGGAGACTACAGCTCTTTTTTCTTCAACATACAGTAAAAAGGCAGTATCTCAGCAATAATAAGCTAGCGGCACGAACTTTTTTCAGAGAATTCGTAGATCGTTAGGATCTACATAGTGCGCGTATACTCGACTTAAAAGGTATGTGACACTTGGAAATGTTCCCTCGTAAGCTTATCTAACACTTCATATCTTGCACTTAATTCAATTTTAGACTATGATGCATTCTATTGGTGCTATATGATCAAAAAAAGTAATTCTTACCAGGTGATATTTCGGTTTTATATGAATGAATTTCAACATTGGGATAGAGATAGTTGAACATGGGCATTGAAGTGTGTCAAAATACTGCAGTAATAGATGCTCAATCATAGAATAAGAAAAGACTTTTACAGAATCATCGACGTCTGGCTTCCTAGACTGGTGTAAATAAGCAGAATAAGTATATCTGTACTAAAACGAATATTATCTATCAATAATGGATGGCAGATACGTCTCATTAGCTGAGTGTCTGCTGAAAAAGCGATTTCTATTTGATAAGATAAGACTTATCAGACGAACTTATCTCATGTTCTATTTTTACTCCAAGCAAACTAAATTTTTGTTTTTACGTATTTCTAATTCAATCGTTCAATTTATTTGATTTCATCTCAATACGCACTTCTTATTGTGAATGAAATTTTTTTAAGAAAAACTTCTTGTGAACTTTTTTAATGTACTCGATTGTAAATTGTTGTTTTGAATCAAGTGTGGATTTTCGAAGTCGATGAAAATGTTGTAGAATCATATGTATATTAGTTGAACATTTGTTTGTCATAAATTCTT